ACCTTCCTGAAATGCTGGTATTTTCCCGATAGGCACCGTAGTCTAAACTCCTTAAAGGGGGGGTATATAGGGATTATCAAGGGGACTACTATAGGCCTTACTAAGGGGGATACTAGGAGTTTAGACTATAGCTCCTTTAGGGGAGTGAAGGTCTACAGGTTCGTGGAAGATCACTTCAGCCTCAGTCGGCAGCAGGAATTCCCAGGGCCTACACCCAAAACCCTCACAACAGTTTGCTCAGAAAGGAGCAAGACAGAGGTCCTGGACAGTGTCTTATTCATTGATAGAGGGATTAGGGCTTCAAACGGTTTAGGGTTTAAGGACTCCACGTCACTGAGATTTGTATCAGCGAGATTGACCATCCCAGCGCGATATCCATTCTGCATACCCAATTCAAGCTGGGTTTGATGTTGACGGACGGGACCTCCTCCATCTATGACCTACGACACCAACCTGTCCAAAAACTGCTACGAGCCCAAATTCTGGCGCTGCTACTATTAATGTTGTTATTCGCATTTTCATTCTAATTTTTATTCTTATACTACTACAATTACTACTTTTAATGCTACCATGAATTATACTATGCCTATTTTTATCATGATGTTTAATATTACTACTACGACTTTCCCAGTTGGTTCGTGGGCAGCCGCGGCGATGTGATGCCGGGAGTCGGGCTGTGCAAGGCGTTGGAGGAACGGGGCCATGAGGCAGGGGTTAAGGGTTAATAGGAGTGGAGGTTCTTACTGGGGATTAGTAGGGAATAAGGGAACATAATCCCGAAATAGTCCCAATATAAACATGTAGTCCCTTATTTCCTACTAACCTCCAGAAAGGTTTGGAATTCACGTTCATCTGAAGACGTCGATCTAACACTGGAGGGCAACTTACTGCCAGGCAGCTTTCGGTGTGACGCCCGGACCGGAGGCAGACATTCGCGCGCAACCTGCCAGGTAGCACAGAGATGATGAAAATTCTGTGGGGGCGTATGGGGATGAGTGCGTACAAGGTTTCAGGAATGGTTCATGGGACACTGAGGGTTGTCTGGGTGGAAAGTGTGAATCGTTTTTCGGATGCCCTGCGCATGAAGTGGTTGGGTTGGGATTGCCTGGGCTTAACTACTGGCATGCGCAACCCCAGCTGAGTGACACAGTGAGACCACGTGATAGGTCTGCACCTTACAACAACCTGAGTCATGGCCAAGGTATCTTGGCGTCTTTTTTAATGCAGTACGTAGCAAAGCTGTTGTTGACGATTGCCATTGCTGAGAGCCATTCTGTTATGCAGTGATAGTAATAACAATACTAATAGTAATGATGATAGTAAGAATACTAGTAATGACAATCATGATGATAATGATAAGGCAGAGATGCGGACTGCAGGTATGGTGTCCGCTGCATCACTTTGGGGGCGACGCCCTTCAAGCTTCGGGATGAGACTGCGGTAATGAGCGACAAGGACTTGCTATAGGGGGAAGATAGGACAGGAGATACAGGAGGGAGTCTATCCGTGTCCAATTTTTTCACCGGCTCCTTCTCCGATCAGCATTCCAGGGCTTTGCCTTAAACCCTAAACCTTAAACTCCAAAGCGCGCAGGAGCTGACAATCATCCGGCGGTCGATGAATCCACGCGAGCTGCTTGAGGTCAGCGTGGGGGGGGGCTGTGGCAGCGTTTAGCAGCCCTGGACTCCCTAGACCTTGAGCCCTCCCTGCTCGGAGGACACACGGTTACTATGGTATATTGTGGTATATTATGCTTATGGTGGGTGTTTAGGTGGAACCACTGCGCAGGAATCGCAAGTCTTTGTGGCAATCCTTCAACTTATCAGTCTCCTGCTTAGCCTTTACTTGTGTAGCCCATGTTTGCGGATCATGCAGCGCGCGGGCCATGATGAGGTGGAGCGCAAGCACAGCGTCTCCTGGAATTTGGATGAGCCTTGCATGCATTTGGGTTCTGACGCACTATTGCCCAGCGAAAGGTCCAGCCAAATAGCACTTCCACATTCTGTCTTCCTACACCCTCTCACTTCTGAACCCTGAAGCGTAAATACCCTGACCTCCTGCAGGACTGTATGCCGGAGTCTCTGCGAGCTTGCCGGGATCTTTTACAGAAGGCACAGTGGACTGGGATCTGCTTTGTGAAAAGTTTGATTACATTCATGTGTAGCCACGTGTACAATTCTAGGTACATAGGATTTCATACCTCGACTTGCAGGGTTCCTTTGAAGACACGTTGTCACTGAGAAGGCTTTGAAATATTTTGAGAGGGCCTCGATGTGTCATCGTGCTTGACTCCGGACCTGCCTGTGGAAAAATGCGCCTACTGCAGTGTGATTTCCTTTCGGTATACCGCTTGATGGTCGAGCAATAGGCATTTCAAGAGTCCCTCTCGACTTACAAATTTGGTCCCCCAATTGTTACGGCTTCGCCGTGAGGAGGCTGCTACAGCCACGTGCGTTGCTCTGTCCATCTTGGAGTATATGGGGAAAATGTAAAGTAAAGATCACGGAAGATAATGTGGATGGTCGGCGCAGAACACGAACCGGTCCCTTGTCTACGGGCATGATGCATGTATAGACTTAGGATCGTGTGAGGAGCACTTTGACGTGATCGTTGCCACCGTGATCACCCAACTGGACGCTCGGTGTTCGAAGATGGCTTTCCAGATCAGGACGCAGAGGCCCCAATCATTGATCTCCATGTCGCCCCGATCCAAACCCCAAACACCAAATAGTAGTTTTATTACCCCAATATTATATATACCCTATTGTAAACCCAAGCCCCCCAAAAACAACCGCTGGGGCCAGCCTGGCAAGGCAGGGGCAGTGATACGTGAGCTCATATAGGTGTGAGAGAGAGAGAGCACTACCATGGTGGCCATGCTGGGATTATTCCTGTACAAACCTCAGCAGTGGATCGGTCTTTGTGGTGGGGACCAATCTAGGCAAGGCCCACCACGGGCATGGGGGAGAATCCCAGGGGCGGGCCTCTTTGGCCTGCTCCATTGCCCGCATGAAAGAAGGAAAGAGAGAGAGAGGAAGCTGAAAGCAGCACTCCTCTAGGGAGTGTAGAGCCCTGAAAGAAAGAAAGAAAGGAAGGAGGCTGAAAGCAATTCAGAGCAAGGCTGTGGAGGTCGGGGGGAATTTGAGGCTAAGCGTTCAGAGTGTTGCTTGACTTCTGATGTCCGTGTATCAGAATCCTTGCTGCTGGTCCTGCCGGACATCTCCCTCTTTGGAGGGTAGACGCATAAGAGGTAGTACCTCGACTGTCTCCATATGCGCCGATATGGTCCCAACAGACATCAACAGACCAGAACAATTACATGTGGGCACTTCAATTTGTATTAACAATCCCAAAGACACTTTTGTAGAAGTCGGATTTTCTGCCAACATTCTGGTCCTAGGTTCCTTGTGTAACTGTATGCCCTCTTACAGTGGCCCCAAAGGCTTTGAAGTTTCTCTCCCCAAGGCAGCGCTGCGCCTGCGCAAGATGCCCCCCAGCCGCAATAAACCAGGCGCTTTCGTCTGAGATTTGTGATTTGAAGGGGTTTCTGCGTAGTGTATCAAGGGGCTGGAGGGTTCAGATCAAAGGGGTTGCAGCAGGGAGGACATACGGGCACAGGATCTAGGCTTCAGAGTCCAGCAAAGGTAGTTTGTCTTTGTAGGCGGTTCCTGGTGTGAGGATGGCATCCCGAAATTTTGGCGGCATATCTTTCAGCCGCTCACGTTGATAGGCTTTCCAATTCCGAGATAGCCAAACTTCCACCTGATGAGGCTGCAGACTGAGGAATTTGTCCTAGCAATGGCGGCGTGCTAAGACCATGGTTATCATCCAGGCAGGTTTTATCATAGCGGTCATCACTGTCCGGATGTGGTGTTTGTTTGGGGAGGGTGACTTTCAGGGCTGTGACTGTTAGTACACATGATTATCCTCTCCCCGGACCAAGCCATACCTTAAAGCTCTCATCCCTGACAGTTAAACTCTAAACCTTGAAGCCTCTATGAGCTGTACGTGGTCTAAACTCCTTAAAGGGGATTATATAGGAGATTCCATAGGGGACTACTATAGGGGTTACTACGGGGCATACGGGGAGTTTAGACTATAGCTGTGAGCCTCAGCCAAGGTTTCCCCGCCTCAAGATTGTCCGTACAGCTTTTTCCTTCGGCTCGTTCGCTCCACCGACCCGCGCATTCCCGCCAGGCGGCTACACGGACTCTCGGTTAGATGTAGGAGCGCCTACCAATCAAAATGGCTTTGGGGTGAAATTATGCTATACCTTTACAAGGAACTTTAGTGTATGGTGATTCTTGGTAATCATTCAGGCTTACTTTGCTCTTATTTGTGTTTGTTCAAAGCGTTCGTGGATTCCATGCGAGCTTCGGAAAAATTACACGGCCCATTTTTGGGACCTCCGTATATGAAGTGAAAGCCCTCAATGTTGAACAGCTCCCATCGGAAGAGTATCTAACGGGGGCAGATATTGGGTTTTTGTTTCAGGGGCTGGGCCTTCCTTCAGTCAGTAGAGATTGGAACTTGCATCATAACAGCAAAAGGCCCTTGAGGAAAACTTTGATTGTTTCACTCATTTCCACGTGTCATTGGCCTGGGAGGGGCTGCCACAAAGCATTGAGCACGAGCTCACCGCAAGTTTCAATACCATCATCATCCGTCTTCAGCGATCTTGTACTCCTTGTGATAGCTACGGTTCTCGTCTTGGTACATCCTGATTTCGCTATACTGTTATGACCCAACCCAACCCAGAATATTTTTTCATTCCTTCCCGACCTCGACCCAGGACTCTCCGCAATGTTATGGCACCTCTGGCCCATTGAAGGGGCGCGTTGTGAGTCAAGGGCGGAATGAGTAATCAATTCTGTGATGCCGGTAATTTTCCTTTGTATCCCTGTTGCGGTTCAGGTGGCGGCTTCGGCAAGCATTGCAGTTAACATCTCGGCTTGTCTGTTAGTATTTCTTCTTGTAGCCAGGCCAGCATCCTTATTGCCATGCTCGTCATATCGTCCTTGTCGGCTCTTCCGGAGAAGGGGAAGGGGCTTCTACTTCAGAAGTCAAGTTTTGGATGCTGAACCCCTGAACTCACGAGCCGCAACCCTGAATCCGCTCATGTCCCCAACCTCGGAGAGCGCCAGCTCCAAGGCACTGAGGCCCTTCCCTAGCGCCAGCCGTTAGCCAGTTACATTAATCAAGGATACCACCAGCTGGGTACCTTTAAAGCATGTCTCATGGATCACTTACTTTCGTGTGAGTCGGAACTCTCCACCTGGAATTGTCCTTGAATGTGGAGAGCTCAGCTGATGCGGATTCCTTGAGATGAATGCTGCAATTTGTTCTGCCACAGCTCCTCTGAATCCTGCGCGCTGTAGCGTGCGCAAGCTTGCGCTTAACTCGAAATCATCGCCTCAGCTCTCCGCAGCAAGCTTTCCCTCGCCTTCAGGCCCATTTTCATTCTGATGTTCAAGGCAGTTATTTTCCCAAATGCTGGTCGATTATAAGTCTTGAAGCCCTCAGCCTTCAGATCCTCCCTAAATCCCAAGCCCCATATCTGGACATAAACCCTAAGCGAAGCAAGCCTGAAGCCTAGATTCTAAACCTGTGTTCCAGATCATTGCACATGGGAAGAGGGGGAGGGTCCTAAAAAACGCCAAAAGCTCTGAAACTCAGGCTTCCTCAACAAGCTGAAGCACTATCACTTCATTTTCTGCCGTTTTATGCCCTTCATCTTGCAGGCGTCCCACGCAAAGCCCCTTGGTGCGCAGAGTAGGGATCCCTTGTCTTGTAACCCTGCCGCTTGTTGTTATCTTTTTCCGAAAATGGAAGGTTTGATGGCAGCTATGGTGTCCCTTTGCGAGTTTTCATAGCAGCACGTTGGATCCTGTCATGGTTCCAACTGGCTCCCCACGTCAGGAGGAACTTCTAACTTATTGCATCCTGTTGGCCATGCTTTCTTTTATGTCTTCCTGCTTCCTGTAGATGATGCTGTCTTAACACCCAGCAAACCCCAGACCCCATCAAACCTTAACCGCGGCTGAGGCGAGATCGTGAGAGAACGCAAAAGATCGAAGGCATTGATTCCGCTGATCATTGAGGGTCCAAATTTGGAGGTTTGGGCTTTCGAGTGCTGCGTATGATAGCCATGCATGTCTCGGCATACTGAGCATGTACGGTTGTCAGGTAAGTTTAGGCATTTAAGGATTCGAGCTTTAGGGTTTTAGACTCTGATGCTCAGGACTGAAGGTTCAAGATCTTTCATGTCACATTTTGTGGAAATGCGTGAGAGGTGTTAAAGATAAAAGAGACGTAATGAGGTTGGGTGCGTTCAATGTTGTCAGAAAATGAGTGTGACAAGCACATGAGTGAGCCTGTCATTGACACAGTTCATCATTAGATTTATTACTTTTGTGGGCCTACTGCAATGGCAAAGCGGTGGGGGCTCTTGGGGTATGTCCCGACTGCGCTGTTTCATGTTTCATGTTGAGGTTTCAGGCCGTGTCAGCAGGCCTCATCCCAAGAATCAGTGATGGATGCTTTTCTATAACCCCTATATAACCCTTCTATTGCCACATAGAACCCCAGGCATCGACCACAACGACGGCTTCGGCATGTTTAAGGTGCTGTCAGATTTGCCAATGCTTGGACCTTCGGCAAAGACCGATGTGTTTCTCAAAGAGGGAAGAAAGCCGAGTGTGGCCCCGAAAACAAGGTGGATTCACCAGGGCCAGCGCTTCCCTTCCCCCTAGCCTGGCCTCCTCCAAGAGTTGAGATGTAGTTGCCAGAGATAGAACACCCCACTATGTACCATACATCCATCTTATAGTTACTTTCTCTAAGTTCCTTAGCAGCACCCCAGAATAAGGACTCTGGAGCGAACATCTCCAGCCGACTCCCAGCGATTTTCCGGAGAACCTGCTGGTGACGGGCTGCATTTTCACTCCGAAGCTGGAAAGTTGGAAGCCTTCCGAAGCTTCTGGGTTGCTGTTGAGGCATTTAGATTAAGCTACTATAGTAAGGGAAACCCTAGTATTTATTATGTACCCATAGTATGGTATCTTAATCTAAGGATACCCACAGTATGGTATCTTAGTTTAAGTTCCTTAACACCAACCAAGGCTTTGGAGGCCTTCATGCAGAAGAGGGATGGTCATGGCCGTAAGCCGGCCATTATCACTTTCGGAGCTCCGGCAAGTGCAAGCTGGTAGTACTTTTTGTTTGATCAAGAGTTTTCTTGAGCAAATGACATCCCAAGCTTATGGCAGGACAAGAGTCGTGTTACGATGGACGGCAATAGCGAAACATGGGGATGCTGTTGCTACTGCTGCAACATTGATCACGTAGAAATAATGTTCAGAACAATCTGTCAGAACTGCTGCGGTCGTCTCTGCCACTGCCATCTCGGCATCTCCCACTGCTTCCACTCTTGGCCCTGCAGCCTAGGATCCATGATGGGTGTGCAAAACGTGCAGGAAGGGACCCAGAAAGCACTCCAGCAGATGGGCATGAACGTGGTGCATTGGCTGAGATTGAAAGCAACAAAAAGATTTTGTGAGGGTGTATCGCCAATGTTACAAGGCTTCTGTATGAAAATTCTCGGGTTTCTTACGATCATGGGTCCTTCTGGTCGTTCCATTTAGCACCACAGTGGTTGCTGGTATGCTTGGGGCCCCTAATTTCGAGTGGAATCAGTTCGATTCAGGGGATAGAAGCCCCTCGAATCTAAATGAACTGCGTATGCGCATCAAGAATGCTTTGCATCCGGTGTTGGGATCCCACAGGGAATCAGCTTATTCTCTTTCTTAAGGGCATTAGGTATGATGGCACTGCTGTGTGCATCCACTAACGGAGGTGAAGTTTGTAAACAAGACGTCCATGCAGAGCCAACGCAGCGAGTTCAGCTTCACTGCATCTTCATCTGGCCAAGAGGCGGCTCCTGATGTCTTCGAGATCGTACCTGGGCCCATGTTGCATAAGGTTTTTGAGGTTCTGATCCGATTTTTCTATGGTCTTGTGCCGTTCTCATAACGCGCCGAATGGAAGCGCAAGGATGGCAATTTGACCAGGAAAAATGCAAGGAAGTTCCTGAAAACTTGCGATTGCAACGTATCGCCGCTTTGACACGGCAAGCCCATGCTACTGCTTGCGTAGCGAGTTGAAGTTTTGATATTATATGAGTAGGAGAGTTCATGCAGCGCTTTTCATCACCCAAACTCCACCCGCCGCCCCGGCGCACTATGCTTCCAGTATGCTGCTGGGGAATTAGCTTTCATGCCCTGACCTTGTGATAGGCAAGGTAAAAAGTAGACTGGAGATCTAAGTCCCATCATGGGCACACTTGGATCCGTGGCAATTCTCCGTCAACTACACATCCATGTGTACATGTGCGCAAACAACATCCAGTGTAGCAACATAAAATCTGTCAGCTTTAGCAAGGACTCATCCACATAGCCGGAAGATTGCCCGTGGGGCCCATCTGCACTTTATTGTGTGGTATCTTGACAGAATCTGCATATAGCCCCGAGAGTCCCGAGAGCCTCCTCCTTCCAAGAGTTTTGTTTGTTGTGGACTCAAAGACTGCAAGCTGATGTATACCCGCAAGCTTTGACTTGGGTTTGGATCCCAAATATCCTAATTAAGACTTAGTGGTTAAGATTAAGATCCATATTCCATGATTTAGGGATCCAAGCCCAAAGGAATAAATCCTGATGGTTACAGAGGAAACTCCCTGATAGAAACAATGGCATGGCCAAGGATTACGCGCCATTTGATTGGCTCCTTCCCAAGTCAAGTGTGGCATGGCGGCATGGCCAGGTGTAGTTGGAAGGCTTGTACCCATTCTTGAAGCCTGGATGTCACAACTGCACCACAGGAAGCTACAAGACCCAGCCCTAAGCCCTAAACCAGTAGTATGCAGTCTAGAAGACGGTCTTTGGTGTCTGGGGTTTGTCGGGGTTCACGATTTGGAGTTGAAGCTTTAGGGTTTCAAGCCCAGGCCGAAACGCATGAGGAAGCCCTTAGAAGAAGTACTTGTGAACTGCCCAAAACAATCACATGCTTACCCTGAATTTTCAACATCTTTTGCCAGCAATCTGCGCACCAAAGCCTTGCTCCCAGCACACCTTCGACCCCAAAACCAAAAGCCAGCAACGGCAAATGAATACAACACCGACATATGAGTTTGAATATACGTATATATATATATCCACAAAGTTTTGTACACACGTAGAAGAGATTCTGTGCTGTAGGTGTTAGATCCAAAATAAATACATGCATGCACCCATGGAGAGAGATATGTGCGTATATATGTACATATATAGATGTGTATGGTAGTTTCCATGCATAGGGGGACCATTATACAGACCAGAATACTATAATCATTGCTTTAGGGACCCCAAGAAAAGTTCCCCTGATATTGGGAAACCCCCATATGTCTAACTCAGGTGGTGATCTGTCACGGTGGGGCGGGGACGACTTTCAGGAGCCTATGGTCGGGCGTTCCGGTCGTCATCTGACTCTCGGTCCAAGAAGATTCCGGGGCACTTCGGGGGATTCGACGGTTTCCATAAACTACGGCTCCTTACTTGGTGGTCTGGCACACACTACAATGGAGCATATTGTATTGGGGTCTATAATGAGGGCCGCCATTTATGCAAAAGCCCAATTGTATGGTTTAAGTTTAAGGCTTGTGGCCTGGGGGCCTGGGGTTTGTTTAGGTTTTCTGGAAAGCCCAGCTGCTCCTTGGGAGGGTTGTGATTTAAAAGTGCTGAGCGAAGGGTGCAGTCATACTTGCGGATCCATAGAATGCTGATGATGATGATGATGATGACGACCATCCCAAACCTTTCTCGGATGTAAGCATGGTAGGGGTGCCTATCGATGCCTCTTTTTGCGATATTTCCAAACAGGTTGACAAACGTTCCCTATCATCAGCGTCCGCAATGTCAATCGTACTCGTCTGCCACGTAAGCTCTTGAAGCACGTGTTGGAAATCTTATGTAGCATCTTATTAACGTAGATAGTCTTGAATCCGATGGAAGGGCCCCGAGACATGCAGGCCCCATCATCTCGGCCCTGATCTGCGATCAAGTCTCGCATGGCCAGTTCGTGGAGCGAAAGGGCCCCTTGCTTTAGCAAGGAGGGGCTACACATCAGTCCATCTGCATGTTAGCACTTTTCTTCCAGATGGAAGATCAGGCAAGTGTTCCATGGTGCGCTAGAAGGAAACGAGAGATGTCTAGCGAGTCCAGCGCAATGCAGAAAGGATTGATTGCCCTCATTCTGAGTTTTTGCAAATACTCTGCTAATTGTTGCATCATATTGCAGCGATGAGCTTCGTGAAGCCTGCTCGCCCAAATCCTTTTGAAATCCCCTGCCCGTAGGGTTCAGCAATAACCTTTGCGTCCTGATGAAGCAGCACGTGGATGTGAAACAACAATGTGAGTGTGCCTTCGAAACTTAACTTAGCCGCTTATACAATCCTACGGGTCTTCACCTCTACAGCCCCGACTGAGGACGCCTATTTCCATCGTACATCCTGGAGAATTTAAACCACGACCCAAGAAGGGCCTGTGATGTTGATTTTTTTGCCAGCGCTGAGGAGAAAGCTAAATTACAAAGCAACGTTTTTTCGTTGCCCTGAGATAGCCATTGTCTGCATTGATGCAGCCAGTGCGAGGCCTGGGTACCTGGATTGAATCTCTCGCGCCCAGTGTGGCGGAGTGCGTGACGGCCATCGAGCAAGCTCTGACATGTGAGCAGAGATGCCGCGAGGCGAGCCAGACATGCAATTGCGTTGGTTGTTTACAGAATTTGTCCTTTATTTCGTTACAGAACCTTTTGGGCGTTTGAAGCTGGGACCATCAGCCGATGCCGGAAAGAGGCGGACCGTCTGCCGAAAAGCTTGCAGAAGACCCTAAGATGGTCTTGCCAGAGTTTAAGTCTCTCTCCGTGGGAACACACCTGCAAGTCATCCCTGGCACAGCCAAGCGCCGACCACCCTGAGCATGCAAGACCCCAGACCTAGTGAAGCTCTGGAAGCCTCATGGCCTTTGACTTGTAACTCAGGAACTCATGAATTTATTTCAGGGAAGTGGTTGGGTGCGTCCATGCCTTCTGGGGGGTCCCCATGGTGAGGTCGGACCTGAAAGACTTAGCGACTGGCCTTCCTGCTACCATCAAGGCCACCAACCATCACTAATCTCCTCCCCTCTCCCCATGCAGGAGTTTCTCCAACCGTCTAGAATCTACTGCTATAATCCTACCCTGTACACAATTAGACGCCGAACGGGCATCCAATCTGTCATGAAGGTCGGTGCCAAGCTGCAGCAGGAGGACGGTGCCGCCGCGGCTGCAGCGGCGGTTGAGCGCGTTGTTCTTAAACAGTCCTCCTAGCTAAGTCATTGCTTGACATGACGTTTAGTTTATTTTTGCTGAAAAACCTACTGGGCAATGTAAAGTAATGATTCAAACCCAACAACGACTTTGAGGTCATATTTGCTCAGAGTACTCCAGTAAGGAACCAAGATAGGGGCGGTTTGGGGTTTGGGGTTGTGGGGGATGAGGTGTCCTTAGACCCTTAACCCTGCGTAGTGGTTTCATTTTAGCTTAGGTTTGCAAAGTTGAATTGTTCACTGCTTGTTCGCAGCTTACCGCTTAGGGACTGACTTAGAACTCAGTTCGCGTGACAGATATGGGCTACAGAGTTCTAAGCCCTAAAATCTGAACCCTGAACACTGATGCGTAGAGCCAGGCGGGAGGGAACACCAATCCCTGAACTCTATAGTCCCCCTTAAGTAGAGAGAATATGGCTTCGGGTATATTAGAAAAATAAGATCCCCATATAGCCCATATTCTATCTACTCTAGGGGGGCCATAAATTTGGCTTTTGTGGTTCAGGGGCGTCGCAGCGTTCAGGACACCTAGCATTCCCAAAAAAATTCAGGACATGAGCTTTCACGGTCTTAGCGTTACATCCTTGGAGTTAGGTTCTACGGATGTAGGGCTCCAGCAACGTTTCAGCTTGTGGTGAAGCATCCGTGGGGGTTACGTGGGGATACACTATCTGGGATTCTATGGGGTTCATATAGGGAGTACTTGGATTGTTGCACGGAGGCCCCCTCCCGTTTTGCAAGCATCAAGGAGCATGCACATCGTTATGGTGACTGTTTTGAATGTTGGGAACCTGTGTTTCGGCTTTACTCCGGCAATGACTGCGCGGCGCTTGCGCCAACGAGTGGTACGTCGAGCCTCATATGTATCATGCGGCTGTGGTTGTCTGGTAAGAGAGGATATGTCCATCATACTGCAACCCAACTTGGCATGGCCACCCGTTTTAGGAGATGCTGTTGAGACTTTCCGTGGCTTGCTTGCACGCCCGATTTACGCTGTGGACGCAGTCTTGCGGGCACCTGCCCAGGAATTTAAGATTGGCCCATGAGCCTTGCAGCCAACTACCTCGAAGCACATGGGGAGTAACACGTGGAGAAATTGCTGCAGTGATGACCTGAGATACAGTAAGAAAACCGACATAGGACGACCGGTGCGCTTCGTGGAATTAGGGTGCATTTCTTCTTCGCCTGTGTCGAGTTTTGCAAGACACAGATCCAGGGATGCTGCAGGTCTGCAACGTGAGCCTGAGCATCCGGCGGTCAACAGGAAAAACAGGTGTAGTGGCAGAATTCAACCTGGTTGAGAGAACAGAACCCGGTTCACAGCCGCATGTCCTACTGTCCTACGGAGACCTTAACCTGAAGGCTTTCGCCGCCAGGCGCAAGTAGGTGGATGAGCGTGAATCTCCCATACATCTTTGGGAGAACTACACAACTTGAGCAGCTTTTGATTCTTGAAGAGGGCGGTGGGAATTTAGCATATTTGGGGTGGCTTCTTGCGGCTCCAATTCTTGGCCCCATTCCTCCGCAAGCGTTGACAGGCTGTCCAGCACGTGCACTGTAGTACATAAATGAATGCGATGGTGTCGAGAGTTGTGAAGCACTGCACATCACCCCAAGCCTTTCCGGTATCTGGGGTTTACTCAACGATGGGTCAAGCATTTGGATCATGATAGCAAGGATAGTAATAGTGGGCTATAAGAACGTCCATAGCCAACACCTAGTAGGACCTAGCCCAACGGGCCAGACTTTGAACTTTGCATCCCAAACGCAAAGACTGAGTTTTTTGCTGCAATCCGTAGGCCTAAGACCTCGACCCATTAGGCAGGGTTGATACGAGGCCTTAACCTCAAAACTTACCAACTCTCGCTCGAGCGGATGTCAATTCAACCGCTGCGCAGCTGCAAAGGCCCGAATAATGGTTGAATTCAAAAGTATTCAGCTAAAGAAATCTGCTGTGCTGCTCAACTCCATCAGGAAACACGCTGAAAGCCACGCAGGTACTATCATTCTCCTAAGCTTCAACACCCTGCCTGCATCAAGTCTTCGGGGGCATCCTCTCAGGAAGTCGAAGAAAAGTCGGGCCGCAGTACGAGCTCCCAACCCTCAGCCACAAGCTTATCTTTTGGCACTTCACCCCCGGCTGACAAACCACCCTAAAGTCTTGAAACTTAAAACCCAATATACCCAAATACCTACGGCACTCTCCAGCGAATGCTGTGATGGCCAGCGAATTCTTTGTGCCTTGAGTGTGCTCGGCGACCATGAGGAGGCGCGGCTGAGGTTCTCGGATATAGGGTAATCCAGCTCAGCGTGTCAGAGTCATTGCAAGTTGGGTTCCGTTCTTCGAGAACTCAGCGTGTGAGCCTGTTGCACGGTTACTGCTTTGCAGGACTTGATAGTCTTCACAGGCCTAGATGCAAGAGGCTAGCACAGATGAACTTGTTAAATCAAGAAGTCCTTTCCTTGTCATGTTGGCACAAGGACGAGTTGTGGTATATTTGAACTTGCCGCAAGACGAGTCTCCCACCTGCAGAGCTTGGAAGACTCAGATCCTCTGATAACCAAGAAGCCTTTGAAATTTAAACCGAACTTTACAACTGGGAATGCTTTTTGTTGTCTCAAGCCTAATGGGGAACATGGGAAAGCTGAGCAGATGGCAGGAAACCTCCATAGTCTGTTGTAACAGCTTTTTTAAGGTTTCTCCGTGTCATATCGAGAATTCGTTCGTCGCTGAACCCCTTCCTCAAGGAACAGTGTTGTTGTCAATAACGTCATGACTGGTAGGATTGCCCGAGCATCAGTTCATGAAGCTGAATGATTGTTTTCAGGATTGCAGTTCTGCTCCTCCTTGGACCCTGAGCCAGTCGTGAGCCCTAAGCCACCAAACGCTAGCCTTTCAGAACTATGAAGCATCTCAACTCTAAATTGTCAACACCAGAAGCTACAAGAACACTTGCACACCCTCACCCTCACCCCTCCCCTGGAGGTCATCCTCCTTCTCTATGGTGGAATCTGGTCCTCGCCTGCAGCACGTTTGCCAGGCAGCCTGGGCAAAAATCTATGACTTAGATCCCCTAGAAAACATAGAACGGGCACTTATGTACAAGGATTATATAAGGGTACTTGTTACTTGTGGGTCCATCATATCCGATCGTTTGGCTCTTGGAAGTTGGGGGAAGGTGGATTGTACAGCATTGAATAAGTCCTGGTTCAAAAAAACGTTTCTATTTGATGGGACGGCACAGAATTAGAAGCGGCTCTTGAAGTCGGTTGCAACCGTCGGTTTCTTCCAAAGGAACGAATCTTTTTTAGTGTTGTCCGCGCGAACAGGAATATCCCGCAACACCTCCCTGTAGTCTCAACATCGCACATTTTTCTCCTCGTTTATTTTCGCTCGGATAAGTAGAATCACCAAGAAGTTATTCTGAGATAGTCCCCAAGCATGGTCAAACCCGAGCCTGCACATGAATTCCCAAGCGAAAGCCAGATCCCTGAACTCAAAAACTTGCTCCATCATTGAGGTGGTCCTGTTTTCCTTGGCGGGCTTGGGCGTGCTGATCGGCATCATTGTGGCGAATACCCCGTCACATGTCAGCGTAGGGTATGGCTCTTGGGAGGGACATGTGACATGCTCGTCTTGGTGCAAACGGCCCTCATCACACCCGTCGCTGTGAACTTCGGGTTTCTCTCGACTTCCCACAGTCTCCAGGGAGGTATATCCATCTTTGCTGCAGATTCCCGCAACCTCCCCGCTCACCCAAAAGCATCTTCCTGGTGGTCATTAGCAGTATTTCTGTCCCTGATACTGTCTGCAGTGTTTTGGTTCGCATGGGGTGCAGGTGATATTTAAATGCTCCACCCCCGCTATTCCTACAACTTGGGTAACCCCAGCTGTCCAAGTTGTAAATCCGAATTGCTGTAATACTCGTGGCTTCCCTTACACTCCTCTTATGCGCTACCAGGAACTTCATTCTTTGTATACCCTAACGAAGGGTTAGGCTTCGGATCGTCGCACATCCCTAAACTTTGCCCTTTGAAGAGCATTCGAGATGGCTAAGAAATTGCTAGATAGAAATGCGATAGAAGTGATTGGACTCACTGTGATTGTCAGTCCGAGAGTTGGCAAATCCTGATCTTGTCGTTCTATTGTCTGGCTTTCTGCTTTGGCCACGCAAGTCTTGAAATCTTGCCGGCCACAAGCTGGGCGAGAGGGGACAGGTTTTCATCCCTTAGTGCTCCAGCCTGGTGTCCCAGTCTCAAACCCTAAGCCCTATGGCTCAACCCCTCAGCCTGCCTTGGACCCCCCAAACCTTTTCAACCTCAACCACCCAGACCCAAAAGCCCCCCTTTTCGTGTCCTATACAAAGCCAAGGCCCGAGGAGACTGAGCAGCCTCCAGCAGCCCGTGTGGCTTCGCCACGACTTCGCACGGAAGCCGCACGGGCGCCTGTGGCGCCTGGGTCACGCATAGTTTGTGATACGCTTGGAGGTTGGATTGAGGGCTTGGGGGTTAGAGCCTGCCAGGGCTAGCCAATCGGGTTTTGAAGTTTCACTCGCAGGCTACCTTGGCGCAGAGCTTGGCAGGTTGACAGATTTACAGCATTCTATTGAGCTTTGAGAGGGTTCGACGACGGTGATTTCGTAGCGGTTTGTCAGTATTTCTGTGTTAGTAGAGATGCCGCACTTCTCTACCAGCTTTCGTGGGAGTCAATGAAGAGTACAAATCTCTAGCCCAACACTTGCAGTCAGCACGAAAGTCATTGCAGAAGGAAAGGCCCGAAAGCGTTGACCGGGTACCAGTGAAACACGCAATTCAAGAATCAAAGCCAGCAAGCCTCATATAGATCTTCAGCAAGGAGGGCCAGTGCCGGCATAGTAGCGCTATCAACAATTCCCTGTTATATAGATTCCTTGCTCAAGGGTCCCTCTTTCATAGTAGCGCCCCCGCTGCCTTCACAATGGAATAAGGCTACCATGGCAATAGCACAAACAACTTTGACGAAACAATTGCCGCTTCGATGAATTCCCACTATTGCAATGCGGAGACAGCCAAGTTGTCGCTTCCCAACTTCTCGGTGATTCTGCCGGCTGGAGATGTTCCAGATGAGTTCCAGTTTCTGGGCCGTGGCGCCTGCATAAATCAGTGCCTCCTCTGAATTGGAGTGGTTGGTCGGGGGCCAGGAGAGTGGGATTCTGCTGCAGACTTATACTTGCAAAGGGAACATGCGAGGGTGTCTTGTTGTCGGATCCAGATGGCATGTGACGAGATTACGAGTGGCACGGATGGACGCCAACCTTCTGACGGACTCGTGGTCCCTCGGAGGTGTGAGTCCCTTGTTGGGATGCGGCTTGTTGTGAATTGCTCACATTGGAGATCCCTGCAGCATGGTCATAGAGACATTTGTTGTAACGCCAGCAGGGAGCAGACGGAAACCGAGAAGGATGCAAACACTTGCTGCCACAACGTCAAATAGAGACCTTGCATAGAGACAGTGCTAGTATGAGTTTGAAGGTGCAAGCCGCTCGGCTGTAGTTGTGGTTTCGGCCGTGAAGGCCTGCGCCACAAAGGCGACAGGACGAGCTGAACCCCCCACGCAGCAGCTAAGTATCCCCATGGACCTGTATCCTGAATCAGAGCCGAGGAAGGGAGAGCACTTCTGGGGGGGCTCCATGCCGCTGGGCTTTTTCAATTCCATCAAGTCTAATCCCCTCATACGAGCATTAAGCACTCTGCAAAAGGAGTTATGTAGGGGCACATAGGAGAGTGGAAAAGCAAATGGAAACAACTTTATGGTTTCGGGTTTTGGGCTTATGTTCAACACCCTCCCATTCCCAGAGACTTTCTACAACGTGACCCAAGGTTATTGTTCTCTCCACCAGCAAAGGATGAAAGCCAACATATTTTGAGATGGTGCGTATTTTGCTGAGGGTTGACTTTCTGCGAGCTTGTCTGGGAACTGCCCTCCCCCAAGCCGACAAACCCATGGACCCCAATTGCAAGGAGGGTCCTCTATTGCTTCTACCTAAGCCTGTGAGAGGCTTTGTGTGTTTCCATCCTGGCGCAGCCATTCCGTAAGCCTGCAGCATAGACCCAGCCAAGCAGCTTTTTTCTTGAACACCTTAACCTCATGGGTTCCTGTACCACCCCAATTGAATTGCGGTCTGCTTAAAGAACATTTCGGGGGAACTAAGGGGTGGTAGTACACCCGCTACTGCTACTGCTACTCGTTTGAAGACGGCATCCATCTTTCTTGTCAAGGGCTTCTGCTCTAAGCGGCAGCGGCTTTAACTTAGCTCTAGTATGGGGATGTTTTACATCGTATCCCTAGAGGGGACATCCATAATCCCCCTCCGTATTTTCTATAAAACCCTCACATTTCAAAGTGCCCCCCCTATCGCCAGAAATCCCCATATCAGTCGTGTCCTTTGTAGGGATACAGAAGCCTTGCGCACTGCGCAGTTTTACACCGTCCCTGCTGGCGATGGAAAATGTGACAGTCCCCAATACAGAATGAGATTGTAGCCTCCATGCGTGGTATGGTATCTGAATAAGAGGAGTCAAATCTTATCTACACTTGGTTTAAACACAAAAAGACTTAAAACCCTAAACCTCCTTCATATGAGCAATAGTCTAAACGCCTTAAAGGGGTGTTGTTAGGGGACAAGAGTTTCGACTATGGCTCATATGACTGCAAAGGCAGTACGTCAGCGCACCTCGCGCGGATGGCTCTAGCTTGGAGTGCACCAAACTTTGCCAGATGCTGCTCAGATGCCTACTCGGTTTAGGGGTTGCAAAAGGGTTTAGAAGCCCAGGTAAGTACGAATGGCAGTATGTCCCAAACCCATTTTTTTTTGGCCCCAGTAAAGTAGAGGCCTAACGCAGAAGACGTAAACTTGCAGGCAGAAGCTGCTGAAAATTATCTTCTGGACGCCTGAGTAGGATGATACGGTTGATAGTATAGATCCAGCATGACCCTAGGTACCCCAAATCTTGGGAGTTCAAGTGCTATAGTATAATGTAGTGCAGTGATTTTGGATGAGCAGGCCATGCGTGTTGGGTTGATGTGATGTTAGCGTTTTAGCGTTTAGGGTTTAGGGTGTCCTGAGTCGGACTGAGTCGGGGTGTTTGTGGCCGGCAGCTCAGATTCCACATGCAAAAAAAGGTATTGCGCCAGGATGCTTTTTTTTTTTTTGTGGCGCTACAGTGAAGAGGGCAAAGCTGATCTGTATCCCTAGTGCCCGTGCAACGACCCGCAAAAAATCCCCACACATACCTAGATTCAGAAGCGCACCCCTCCTGGAGAAGCTCTGCAGGCCGTAGCTTTTTCGAAATGCCCTTGAACCGAAGAACCCTTCATCTACTGAACTCAGTCCAAGATATGGGATACCTCCAAATGTCACACTCAACTTGTCCTGCATTTAGGGTCATGCGTCCTAGCATTCCCAGAAACCTCCCTAAACATGCTGGTGCTTAAGTAGCTCCGGTGCCCCTAAAGAACGATTCCAGACGTATCTGCATATATACTTACGTGCTGTAAGCCCTAGACCCAAAAGCAATCGAGGTTGCCATCCTGTACGGGGTACCAGGCCTCCCGCATATGTTTGGCATCCCGGGATGACATGGGTGTTTTCCTCCAGGGAACCTATGGATGTTTCCTTGGATGGGCTTCTTAAGATCAGGGTCGGTTTTTTCTATGTCCCCTGATGGACTGTAGTCCCGCCAGAATCCTGAGAAGGCTCAGATACCCAGGCCACACAGGCTAGGTTCTTACGCTGGTTCTGGCATGCCCGAAAAACTGCGCGTTTGTTGGGTTTCAGGGCTTCTTGCAAACCTGTCGCTCAGCATACAACCCTGGGATTCTCAAGAACCAACAAGAATAAACAAGAGCCTCATCCGCAGACTACGTCAACTTGGAAAAACAGCTTGAAACTTTGAATCCGAGCAATGGTGCGCGACTTCTTGCAAGAATTGCTGTTTGTAAGAATTGCATTTTGACATCATGTGGCTACTACTACGACTACTACGACGACTACTACTACTCCTGCTGCTGCTATTGCCACATCGAGTATTTTTCACTACTATCACGATGCCATTCTGCTACTTAAGCGAAATCCTTCTATTGTAAGTATATATTTCATTTCATTATATCATTAATCTTATCAACATTATCAAAACGACCGAAGTTACACAAATCGTTCATGCCAGTACTATTTCTGGGTGGTCGCCTTCAGCTTGGCCTTGGGTTAGCAAGGAATGAAGGAATTGGTCCGTATAGTAGTCACTCTCTGTCCTAGTATAGTAATTTCCATTTTCTCTTCCATTCCTTCATTCCCAGCCCCTAAGCCCCTAAACCCTAAACAGCAGCCAGGCCGAAGGTGCCAGCTGCTTCGTCATCGCCGATGGGGTTTTCCGGCCGAGTGCGGCGCGCGGGGGCCGCGAGGACACGCGGCGTCTCAGCTCGGAGGGATTTCTGAGTATAGGGTTTACTTAGAATTTAGGGTTTAGGGTTTAGGGTTTTGGGGTGTAGGGTTTAGGGTTTCAGGGCTTAGGGCCGCTTAGGGTTTAGGGTTTTAGGGTTTAGGGTTTAGAGTATTTTACTTGGGGTTATTATGGTACCCAATATAGGGATCATGGAAAAGAAAATGGAAACTACTATAGTATAGGGTTTAGGGTTTAGGGATTCTTACCCTGAACCCTAAAGCTGTTACTTTGGGGTTTTGGGGTCATTCTGCTTTCAATGTTGTCAATGAGAATGGGGAACCTGAGCACTTGTAATGTTTATCTCATTTTGGGAGTTGAGGATCTAGGCACTTAGATATATAAGATAGGCCCTGGAAAAAATTGGGTCCCCTTCTGAGGGCCTTCTGAGAGGTCCGTTGGGAGCCGCTAGGATGGGTACATGATGGAACTAAACTAAACTTGTTTGGGTTCTTTGTTTTCCGTTGCGGGAGGGTCGCGCAGACCCCGGGAAAGGAGCTTGATTTCACTCTTTTTCGAAGTGAGGGCCGTGAGAGCCAGAATGATGCTAGTAAGGAGCACTTCAAAGAGGATTTGCGGGCTATATAAGTTGCAAACATGTGCAATTGGCAAAATCCCTTCAATGCTGAGACAGCTCAGGTGTTTCTGGCGGCATCCGGTTCTGCGGAAAACCCCGCCCCATGTCAGAGTTTTAGGGCTTCGCGTATGGGATTTCAAAATCAGGGCTCCTTTGTTGGGATGCCCTCAAACGGGATGTTGCAGAAGTGTTGAGTATGCCGCGCGGGCCCTGTTTTTGGGAGATATCTGTACCGATGTTCCCCGCAGGCATCGGTCGCTTTTTTGAGGTCCTGTTTCTAGTATTCGGGGTGGACATAGGAGGTTTGCGGGTTTAAGATTATTTGTTTTCCATAAGTAGGGGGGGGCGCCAACATAGTTCCACGTGGGGATGACACTAATCTTCTCCCCCAATATTCAATATTCCCATTATATTATACATATACCACCATGAGAGGAATTTAATATTAGGGGGAGTGGGGGTGTTTCATATTAGGGGGGGATTAACCATCTGCCCCTCATGACAAGGGCGGCTGTGGGAGAAGGCAGGGCCAAGGAGACGGAGCTAGACATTACTGCTCACCTGAGACGAGAAAGCGGTGGCCCAGGGCCCCATGTTTACTCTGCATATTCTTATTGGTTGTGAGTAGGGAACAGGGGAATATCATCCCTTTATAATCCCTGTAGAATGCATTCCCGTGTTCTCTGATAAACCCCAGAAAGTATGTTGAGAACTGCCTTGTTAATCAGGCCACGCGCCGCTGCTGCATTTCGTTTCTCCCTAGAAGTCTGCAATTCCTCATGCTCATGCATTCCTGGTCCTTAGTAGGGCATAAGGAATCTAAACTTCAGAACATCGAGAAAATATATTCCCATATTCCCTACTAAGAACCAGTCCGATGCAAACTTGCAAAAGATGCTTCACAGCCGGGCCCGGGAGGTCCCAAGCACGGGTACACCCCTCCCCCTAATATTAAACCCACCCACCCCCCTGATATGAAATACTCCACATTGTGGTATATCATAAGATATTCGGAGTGTTTAATATAATGGGGGATTGGGGTTTTGATATTAGGGGGAGGGGGTTATAGGACCTCTTAAATGCTGAGGTGAATTTGGCAACCCCAGCCTGCAAATCAGGACCCTATAAGACCATGTCATTATAGTGAGGTCTGAATTTGGTCGGGCCTGATGGTGGAAACCATGGCCTCTCTAAGCGTCCTGTTGGTTCATACTCATCAGCCACGCCAAGGGGCGTCTACACGGGGCAGCAGCTGCCTGTCCCGAAAACTATCTGGAGCCTGGGTTGGAATTGCCATGGGCATTAAGATTAGACGGGCGGAGCTGATGGTTTCAGATGCCTGGGATGTGCCAAGTGCCGAGCTCCTGGGGCTGGACCACTTTGGGGTCTCAACTGGACATTCCTTCTGGGCCAGGGCGCATGGTTTGTGCTTTGCGTTCGGTTCTACTGCTGGTTGCAGCTACACACCAGTGTTTCTGAAAATTCAAAGAGCCTTAAACAAAGTTAAGGGACCATTTGAGCCTCGCTTGGCATCTCGAGTCCTTTACTAAGGCCCCAGAGCATCATCATATGGATTACAAAGTACCCACGGGCCAGTGAAAGCAATGTCGACGCACTTCCAGTCTAGAATCCCCAGCATGAATGTCCAAATCCTTGGGAGCCCCCAATAGCCTAGAAAAGCCGCAGGAGCTTTTGGGAGGCGTTGCCCAATGCACCGCAGGTCCTCACCCAGTTCGTGCAGGCTCACACGCGGGGTGACTTAGGGGGTAGAAGAGTTGTTTGGTATGAGCTGAGGGTTTACAGAAAGTTTAGGGTTTAACGCAGACGGCATGGGATTGGTTATCGTTTGTAGTTTAATGTTGAGGGTCCTTGAAGCCCTCTACATGCCGAATCTAAGCTACGTGCGGGGGAGACAAACACTTAGTGCCCCATTCTCGAAGCCCCAAAGTGCTAAAACCTCGAATCCCAGACGGACTTGCTGCAAAGGAACAAGTCACCATGACAAGGAAACCATTTTCGTCATTCCATATCCAGACTACAATAACTTTCATCTACGATCCAACAGTCAATATATCACACCTATGCAGTTTTAGTTTCGTTTCCACTGGATTCTTCGGCAACTTCGCCCAAGAGCTTATGAATCCCTTCCAGAATCCTTCTTGAGCCCTACGACCACCGTAAAAAAAAACCGGATAATCCCGAATTCCCCTATAGGAGTCCCCCAATGGCGCCTTTAATCCATACAGAACACCTTAAAGGAGTACCTATATGTTGCCTCTGGAGGTTGCCAAATTGAAGCATAAACCCTAGACCCTCAAACCCTAAACCCCCCCACCGCTGTGCGATGCGCGTGTCTAAACCCCCACACCTCAAAACCTAAACGCCCACACCTTACCCCTAAACCCGAAGACCCACACCCTAAACCCCAAACCCCACACCTTAAAGCCTACATCCCAAACCCCAAACCCTCAAACCTTGAGCCCCAAACAGGCCTGCCGGGCATCCTGGGAAGCGTTGAACCCGGGCTACCAGATACGGCTCCTAGACAATGACTCCTACGGGCGGCGGCTCGGACACCAAAGGAAATGGAGACTACTGTAGTATGTAGGGGTTATACAGGAATAATGGAAAAGAAAATGGAAACCCTAGGTCCCTTTAAAGGGGTATATGGGGTTATAGAAGGTATATATTATAGGGGTTATATAGGGATAATTGAAAAGAAAATGGAAACTACTGTAGTAGATAGGAGATATATAGGGATAATGGAAGAGGAAATTGAAACTACTATAGTGTATAGGGGTTATACAAGGAGAATGGCAAAGAACATGGAAACTGCTATAGTATGTAGGGCGTATATAAGGATAGCGGAAAAATGGAAACTACTGTATTGGGTTTAGGGTTAAGAGTTCAGGGTTTAGGGTTTAGGGTTGTTGTTAGAGTTTAAGGGTCCAGGTTCAGGAGTTGTAGGGGTTCCATTTGGGTTTTGTAGGCTTTAGGGCCTGGGCTGCCGGAATGAAGAAGCAAACGGGCCAGATGTTGGAAAGTTGAAGGGATACAGAGGTTACAGGGATCCTAGAAGTTGAGGAACCTAAATGAAGTCAAAAAAAGGGTTTGTAGTATACTGTATGAGGCTGGACTTCCTCGTGGCTGAAGTAACCTATGTTAACAGGGTGATGCAGAGGCTTGTAGGTTTTTGGCCATTCCTCATGAAGCTCCTAAGTCGCAACCCAGTGCCCATCGTTTTGTTTTGGTTTCTTTTGAAGCATGACGTACTTGATATACACCACTCTTGACTGGGCTTTGGATGTCAGATTCTAGCCTGGGCGCGTGTTCTGACCCAGATGACTGGGTTGCTGTTAAGGAACTTAAAATAAGTTACTATATTGGGGAAACCTTATTATTTACTATATATACCCATTATGGTAACCTAATTTAAGTTCCTTAACAGCAACCCAGATGATTCGCCAGGTATGTCACAGAGCGGGAGCTTCCTGAAACGTTTCACTACCTCAGCATCCAGCACCGCTCGGATGCCATCCGAACTCCGGTCGCATTTGGAGGGGGTTTCCCAAGATTAGGGGTACCATTTGGGGGGGGGTCCCGCCTATAATAAGGATTATCGTATTTTGGGGTCTATATTGGGGTCCCCCTATTTTGGGAAACTACCATTTTGATGACCGTCAGCTGTCATTGCTAGAGGTGAAGAGCGGCTACCCACGCTTCGTCGCGATGGGAATGACCACCAGAATGGTGACCCCTACAAGTAGCCCCCCCCAAGACAATAACGTAGAACCCCATATAACCCTTTAAAACGACACAGTTTTTCTCAAGGCTTAGTTTGAGGGTCCCATGTCATGATGTCATTGTTGCATGGTAGAAGTTCCTGGGGTCCAGGACCCAAACAAAACAGAGGCGCTAATCACCTCCCCCGATCCCAGAAGACCGCCACTACCCTCATATGAAACCACAGTTGCATATTGTACGAGTGTAGGTAATTGCAATGTTAACGCGGTGTGTTGCGGGGCTTTTTAAGGGGGGAAAAGACTTTCAGCATTCCCTGGTGCTACAGGACTGGCAGTCCTCAAGAAGTATGGTGGTATTTGGGTGGATGCCACCACCTTCATGACGAACTCTCTGAGTGAAATGCTGGGCGAGGATCCAAACGTGCGCACCTTCTTCGCGCTTCCATATCCCTGGACGGATCAGTCGCTGAAAGATAATGATGCCAGGCTTGTGTTGTGCGCGCTTTGGGATACATTACATACGGCTCATGTAGGATGATGTAGAGGACATTTAGGGGTCAGGGTTTCGAGGTTTGGCAGTGGGCGCACAGCTGCAGATGAGGTAGTTGCGACAGTCCCTTTCTGGTCAGACAAGGTGTACCCCCATCTACTTGGGAAACTTGTAATTATGTGCGTTTGCTTAGTTAAGTCGATAAGTACAGAAAGTCCTGACACTACTGGTAGTATATCCGCTATGTAGCCCCAGACTCCCCAACTGAGATGGAAGATCAAGTCCCCACATTTTCAGCTGCGCTTCATGTGTCTGTGGCCCAGGATACTCGTGTGAGCTGGATAGATCATCCGCAGAACTGGTTTTTAGCTGCTCCGGCTGGGGACCTCTTTATAGATAGACTACAGAAGCCTGCCTGAGATTCAGAACAGATCATTTGAGCTTCCTTTTGCCTTATTGGTAGGAATGGACGAGAAAATTCAAAAACTATTTTGGGTGACAGTGTACTGGCTGCTATAAGGATCCATTCCTCCTGTGTTCCGCACAACCAATAAGTAAGCTGCTGCTTTGGTGGTTTGTTGTGGCCCCAAGGTTGCTATCACAGGGCGTCTTCTGGGTTCGCACGTAATGCTACTGATGTGGTCATCGTGATTTTTTGTGAAGGCTCACCCTAGTCACCCTATCAGCCCTATCACGCTGAACACTCTGTCCAAGCTATCGTTCACAGCTCGCCTCAGGTCGTGTGTGTGGCATTTCATGGATGGAGCAACTTGGTTTGCAGTTGACTTGTTTGCATGTTCGCTTTGCATTGTTCTGCAGGTGAGAGTGACAAGAAAACAATGTGTGGACATTTCTCGTGACGTGAGGGCCTTGCGGGGGCTAAGTCACCAGCACCCTCGCCTGAGCGACCCCTGGCTCCCACGAGTGTCCGAACACTACATGTCTTGGCCTTGATGTGTACTAGGAAAGGATGAAGGAACGGCTGGCCGGGTGCTTTGAAACATGTCTCGAACAAATTGTGCACTTTCAACTTGAAAGCTCTCAATCCCAAGCTTACTAGCACGGAAAGGAAATCCGAAACCCTACGATAAGGACCTTATAAGGCTCCCAGGATAGCCACCGCGTCCTTATCTTGGGGTTAGGGTAACCCATATCCCCTTCTCAAAGCTCGTATGTCCTGAAGAGAGCCCTACCTATACCTTAAACCCTAAACCTGAAACCTGGAGCGATGCGCATGTCTAAACCTGAAACCTTACAGGTCAACCGCGAAGACTTCAGCCTCTCCGGGCTGCTGGGCATCTGTTTGTTGGGAGAGAATTGCTAGTTGAGTGTTTAGGTTTAGGGCAAGTTGGTGAAGGGGATGCTTTAATTCTTTCTGTGGGGCGGTGTTTGGGATGAATGCGTTAGGTTATGGATTGCTTTATTACTTGTTTTCTGCGGTTGAGCATGTCTTTTGCAGTTGCGTAAGCGTTCGGGACTTAGTCAGCCAAGCCAGGTCATGACCAGTACTGCTGCCCCTGTTCTGAAGGGTTGCCATCCATCCTCCAACCAGAAACCCTAAATCCTAAACCCAGATTGTCATCTACAGACCTGATATTGGGGGATGCTGGTGTGTCGTTCATGAGTTTGTAAATCAGCTTTGAAGACTTTCGACAGTCGAAATTCGACTAATCGAATATGCCCATTATAGTATGCCTGGAATATCTGATAATACGGGGTGAGCATTCAATGTTAGGGGAATGGGATGGAATGGGATGGATGAGTTCCAAGTCAGCCTTGACGACCAGCTTTGTTTTTCGCCTTTTGCTTTGCACCTACATGAGCCTGTGGCCAGCCGTATGTTGAAATCCTTCTGGGCCCAAACCCCTGAACCTTCAGCCCTCAACCGCTAGCTCTAACCCCTAAACCTAAGCCAGACACTCTCAGACCTTAAAAGCCCCTGAGCCTCCGAACCTCTGAGCCCTAAAAGGCTCTTCAGCCCGCAGCAGCTGGAAATCATGCCGCGACTGGGGATCCGCGCATACCTGTCCACGGATGCCTGCATGTTCAGGCTGCACGGGTATATGCAAGCTTGTCCAATTTTTTCAGGTACCTTACATGTCAGGGGCCGCAATCATTCATCATAAGCTAATTATATTTTTGGCACATGGCCCCATTTGTTTGTTGCGAGTGGCTGAGACCAACGAAGCATGTAGTATCTACACCTGGTGCACGCAACTTGTTAGACAACTGCTGGCACTGACTTCTGGCCCCAAAAAAGACACTGATTTGACAACTCGGTTTTGAATGCCCGTAAGATTGCAATGTCAGTTTTGCTCTCTAGGGTGTAGTAACGGAACTCCATTCTTTGAATCCCCCAACTCTACCACCCACACTCCACATGGAAGCCGTTTTCTGACCATTTGAAGGCCTTTAACACCCTAAACTCTGAAGGTCCTTGGTGCCTGAATTCAGAAGAAACCCACCTGCCCCCTTGCATCTTAAGGTAGACTGAATGAGTCCAACGTTCCTAAACTTAGAAACTGCCTAAGACCGGAGCATTCTATCTACATAAGGAGGGCTACGCATCACCCTGAACCCTAAACCCTAACCTATGTCACCGCAGGACCATCTTCGAGGATATCTCCTTGTGGAAATGGTGGCATAGCGCCTGGGCAAAGTCCACCCGCTTTAAGGGAAGCACATGGAGCTTTCTGATGCATGGGGCTTAGGATTCAGGTTGGCCAGTGTATACTCCCCAAAAGCAACAAGTAAAGTCCAAAAAGGGCTCTACCCACAGCATTGTCGTTTAGGAAAGGCCGATCTTAGCCAGTGTATTTCCATCAAAAACGTCCTGGTATCCATCATGTGGGTTATTTTCAAGATTATGGACCCATTTGGGCTATAGATCGTATTCCGGCACCTAATATCTAGGGGTACCAAAATGGGAACTGAATTACCCATGTACGCTGAACTGACATCCGAGGCCCCCGCGTCAGAATACGCGACCCCTGCGGACATCTGGGCTTCACCTGGATGGCCCCTGGGGCCTGGCAGAAGTTGTGATCTAAGACGAAATTAGGGGTACTTGAAAGGGTTTTAGAGGGATCTAGAGGGGCTTTCTAGGGGGCTCCCGAAACAAAGGAGAACATTTTGGCGTTCCCATAGTGAGGAGGATACTGTTGGTCTTTTTTCATGGTCACTCCATTATCAAAGCTACCATGTACATGTGCTTTTTGAGGGTCTATTGCTGTAGCCTCAAACCGAAAAATTTAAAGTATTTGTTACCATCGCTCGCTCTCTCCTGCGACCTTTCTTTGCGTCAATGTCCTGTCGCATGGGGTTTCTTCACATTCGATGCTTTTTTGGGGGGAGGAAGACAAACCTCCACAAGCGCAAAGGGTGGCAGCCATGTTGTGATCCTGTCCGCTTTCCTCTTACTTTGCCTCTGCGTCCACTTTGCTTCTGCAAGTTCTACAAGTTCCCCCCGGTAAACTTTTTTGCAAAGCCTCTTCTTGCCCGATCGTAAGAACATGTGGTTTGTGGTCTTCCAGAGGCGAACATGACGGAGACGCGTGTCAAGATCTTTGAGACCGTTGATCCAGACTTCATGGCGCCCCAGTCGCATTGCAGGAATCGTAGTATACAGAAAGGCTGGGATTGAATCAGTGGTGTTGTATGGTGGGGCAGGCGCGCTGAGCAGGTCGTTGGAGTGTTAGTCCGACGCATTTCCTTTGCTTGAGCCGTGCCCAAACACAAGCATCTAGCACATCCACATCCCTCACATGCGTTTTTTCCCGTAAGCAGGCTTTCTCAAGCAGGGCCCCTTCTCAGGATGCGCCATTTGAATTCCTGCTTTGGTTGACATGATGCCCGGATTAGTCCTCCTAGTCTCAGGTTTCACGCTGGTGCCACCAAGCGGACCTCTTGGACCTCATGCCTGGGCTCTTAGAGAGACCTGCTCCTCCTAAATTCAAATCGAAAAACCTACCGCCTCTGGAGCATACCTGCCGAAAAACCTTAAACCCAAGACCCAAAAGTTTAGATTCCACACCTTCATCAAGGTCAAGCTGCGGGACGATCCCGGCTTGTTTATGAAGTCCCTGGGGCCGCATTCCGTGTCTGGGTGTTGAGGGTATGCCCCGAGAAAAATTCAGCTTCTCAGGCTTGATGTACAAAGCAGGGGAGATTGCAGATAGGCCGGAGCTTTAGGTCTGCGAAGGTCTTCGAGTGGCACGGGAAGCTAGATGCTTCTTGGGCAATTTGCTGTCGCTTTAGCTTGAGACTGCGTCAAATACGCAAAGCAAGTTGCGCTGCCAGTGCTGTTACGGACCACAGTGTCAGAAACCATCACGTCACAATCAGAGTCATGAAGGTCCGTGCAAAGCGTGTTCAAAACCTTTAGCCTCTCCACCCGGAGCTTCTCATCCACCCTATGTCCATGTAGGGATTGTATAGGGATTGTAGATATATCGACCCAATGTTCCCCAATGATGGAGAATCAAATGAACAAGAAGGTTGAACATGACACGGAAGCCGGGTTATATACAGGGGCTGATCGGGATAATTCTGAACAACCTCAAGCTACAACAAGCTGTAAGCCCCTGCCACGATTCCAGGTTTACCAGCGACATGCGGAAGGAGATGGTCATACCACTGGACGCATCGGCAATCTGGTGCAAGGAGATTGGGCAACAGGAAGCAGTGCAGAAGCAGCAGAAGAACGCTCGTCGAAGCAAAAACATCTGGAAAAGCTTCAGCGATGGCAATCGTGGCAGACGCAGTGGTCACTCTGAGTGCTTGCTAAGCTTGATCCTTGTTGGTCCTCACGTCATGAGCATGTTAGTTACCCAACACCTTTATTCTGAAATGGAAAAAGATCCCCTGTTTTGGACGAGAACTTGAGCTTGCATCCCACCTTCGAAGTCTGTGGAGGAGAACAGCTTCCGCAAGATCTTAGACTCCATGAATGACCCTGGGCTTACTTGGGACCATGGGGGCTTCTCAAGCTAGGATGTCCTTGTAAATTCTGGCACCTCCCTAACCCAAACAGGTCTCATTGAAAATGGCAGCAATCTTTGTAGGGCACCCTCTTTGCAGTGGCATGTCAGTTTGGCTCGGCGCAAGCTTTCTTGAGATCATGGGAGCGTGACACAGGTCGCCAGATTGTTCAGCCATTGATATGTCAAAGGCCCCTTGCAGGTTTCACTAGCTGCCCAAATCGGTGTGTGGCACCTGGCAACTGAACATGCAGGACCATGCAAGGAATATCCAACATGGGAGGTTTCTCTATCTAAGTAACCTGTGGACTACGGAAGGGACTAGGGACCCTGATCTCCGGCAATCCCCAAAATCGATGGCAAGACCAATTCAGGTCAACTCAGCTGAGAGATGTGCGCTCTTGACGCAGAGTATGTAATGTAGTCGCAGCCAGCCCTCGCCAGCTGAATTGAGCCGGCGGTCTGGTCTGAAATTTTAGAGATTGGGGTTGTGGGTTTGGGATCTAGGGCTGGAGGCTTGCGATTCATCCGGAGCCGTGTGCGAGTCATGCCCATCACTTGTTCTCTTGTTTGCCCATTCACTGCGCAGGTGACCGAAGGTGCACATGCATAGCATTTTACCGATCATGTTTGCATACTGACCCCAGGTACATTCCGCCCAAAAAATGGGTGATGTGCACAAATTGGGATCATATCAATCATGTCTGTTATCTCCATTTACCCTCGTTGACTCCAAGACAGTCCCCCGAACGATTCCTGTAACATCCTTATTCTTCAAACCTGTTGATTGTCTCATGGTCCAAAACAGCAACTGCACAGTGGTAGCACTTCTGGATCGGAACCAAGGGATGCGCACATCTGATCAAACCCTACAAGCTTCTTAAAGAGAGCCCCTAGGCCCCGAATCCTATACAGCAACCCTGCCAAGCCATTCACCCCAAACCCTCAGCTAAATGCAGAGCTTGGTAAATTCATACACACACATTTGCATGAAAGCTTTGCCCTGAGACTGAAACCCATAGATATCCATGTGGGGGTTTCTCAAAAGAAGGAGGTGCCCTTGGGGGACCCTGGAGCCCTAGGGATCTAGCCAAGATAACCAGGGCTCATGATGCAGGATTCCCCTAAACCCTGCAACCTAAACCTTAAGCCCTATAACCTAAACCTTATACCGTAAACCTAAACCTTATACACCAACACCTCATCCTCCGCGGTGAAAAGAGGCGTGGCAAAAAACGAAACCTTAAGCCGTATAACCTAAACCCTGAACCCTAACATCCAAACCATTTGAGTTTGAGAAACCCCCATGTCAGTGTCAACCCTCCTCAGTATCTCTCGTCGAGCTCAAAAGCGGCCGGCATGCATCAAAACAGCTGTGTTAGCTCCGGGAAGTAGCTTGGGCTTTGTGCTTTTAAGGATCAGTGGGTGTAGGGGCTGGAGTAGTTTGGGGGTGAAGTTATCCATTTACGCAAGAGCCCGGGGACTTGGGAATAAAAAAAGGTGGCAAAGAATAGTCTGTAGGCTCTCTCCGTTTAGGAGAATGCTGCCCTACAGTCTCTCGTCCTCTATGCAGTTACCCTTGTAGACTACACCTGTGACGTCACCAGCGCTTTGTACTGCGCGAAACTAGTTCCTGCCAAAAAACTGAGGTTCGAACCCCGCTCCGGAGCGCTTGTTTGGAGTTGGCTAACAGTCACAATTCTTTTTGGCCGCCCTTATTGCGCAAGTTGCATGCCGCAGGCAACAGCGAAGTGTGGTGCGCCAAGCCAAGCCTTCCCCTGGCTTTTCATTGAGTGGGACTTCTTCTGACGCATTTGTTTTCCAGGTCCCATTTTCAAAGGTCTCCTCGTGACAGGGTTCCGTTAAGCTGCTAGGTTCAGGGTCTTGCAGCCTCGCGGTTTCTTGGTCAGTTGGCTTTTAGCCGTATGGGTATTATGACAGGTTGAAAAAAGTGCCGCATTGATTCCGCGCTAGAATTTTCCCAAGCTGGATTCTTGATTAGACAGGGGTCCAAGGGCCAGGAGCATGGTTTTGAAATCAGGTACTTGTCCACATGAAACCACTAAAGAACACATGTTTATGTCCAGCTTTGCCATGATCTTGAAAGCACGAAACCCTAACAATGAGGTGCTAATCATGTCAGCGAGGCTCATATCCGAACTAGTAATAAAATCGCCATGCTGCGCTTGCAGCCCTAAACCTTAAAACCCTAAACTCTAAGAACCCAAAGCCCTAAGCCCTAAATACAAAAACCTTTGCCTGACTGTAACCAGAGGGTAAAAGGGGCGCTATAAAACCTAAGCCCTAAATGATAGTTTCCATTTTCTTTTCCATTATCCCAATACATCCCTGTATCCCCTTTAAGGGTACTTTCCTTTGCGTGACTGTTGCAGGCTTCGAGCCCTGCTTCTAGGCGACTTAGGATCCAACCTCGACCCCAACACCTGTCCCGAGCCCCTTGATGGTGATGCAGAAGCCCAGGGTTATGTAGATATGGGGGTTTGACAAATTATGTGTACCATCTTTGGGGGTCCCCATAATAAGGATGGGTCTATATTGGGGTCCCCGTATTTTGGGACACTACCGTGTATATAGATATAGATGCAGATGTAGGGGAGATGCTGGGATCGAGGAATGGAAAAGAAGATGGAAACTACTATTGGCCATAAAAGCTTCTGTAACAGTAGTAGGTCGAATTTTTTTCTATTCGATCTTGCCGGCGGAGCATACTTGCCGCATCATCAACACAGTTGAGGTTCAGTCTTTGCACAGAACTCCAGGGAAAAGAGGTTGGATAACTCAAAAAAACTCCCGTAAACTCCTCAAAGCACCATACTTCACATTCTCAGGAACCCCAAAACCTGCGAGCCTTAGTTTTGCATCCGTGGAACCCGTGACATGATCATGAACGCCTTGCTGCCTGGCCACTAGGGCTCAAGCCCAATCCTTCAGGGAAATGAAGTTTCGGGGTGTTTCCGCGATGCCCAGCATGGCCTCTTGGGCACAAGAGGGAACAGGGAACAGCATCATGATAGTAACAGTGAGGGTCTGAGTCCCAGAGCATTGTTTATCCCAATTTGGTTCTGGTGCATAGCATCAAGCTTCGCCGTGTTTGTTTCGAGTTGTGGGTTTTTGGTTTGTGCGTGTGAAAAGACAGAGTTGGTATGTCTCGGAACGCCGCTTTCATCCGCCCCGCATGGGGTCTGTACAAAGTATTAACAACATGGACGCAGGACCTGCCAACTGGACCTGCAATTGCAAGTGCAATCTTGCAACTTAGCACCTGCTGCAGTGTTTCAGCCGTTATCCAAACACTTGACGTTATCCGTGTAAGACTTACGGACTGAGTTCTCAGGCGTTTATAGTGTTTGAGCAAGAGGGTTTTCGGTGTCTCATGGAGGGGGAGTGTCAGATGCAGCTCGCACATCGTGTACGAAGCATAGCATCGTACCAGTTCCTACTGCCAGAGGCCTTCTGGTTCATGTTCTCCCCATTACCACCCATTATCCCAGTTTCCATTTCTTTTTCTTTTCCATTTGATTCTCCATTATTGTGGGTGATATAACCCCTATAATCCCTGTAGTTTCCATTTTCTTTTCCATTATCCCCAAATATATACCCTATATATCCCCTATATAACCCCCATAATCCTTGTAGTTTTCATTTTATTTTCCATTATCCCCATATCAACCCTAAACCCTAAACCCTATGATCCCTATAGTTTCCATTTTCTTTTCCATTATCCTCATATAAACCCCAATATTTTTGTCCAGTGGCCTCCGAGCTGAGGTGAGGGTACTCCTGGCCGCGTGCCTTTGCTACCAGGCGCGGTTAGCATGGAAGCCTCCGACAGCGCAGATAGCGCCAGCCTGGGCTGAAATCCGTTACCCTCCATGATTTTTCGAGTTCTGAGAGTATCAGCAACAAGTACTGGACGATAAGTAGAACTACGATTTTTCCTGTTATTGTCAGTTGTTATCATTCAATCCTGTGATTGAGAAGCCTTGCACCCAAAACCCTATTCAGCTACCAGCACCCTAAACCTGGAACCCTAAACATGTGTAAGCCCTAAACCCTAAGCCTTAAAAGAGGCGCTGCAACAAAAAAGAAAAAACTAGACTCTATACAAAGCC